AATTCACTATAGAATTGAAGCACCACAACAGCTCTAGCAAGTACGACGTCGTTTTGGAACCGGTTCGGAACGCGGTTTTGGAACCTAGGAACTCAGCATAAAACCTCAAATGCGCGCCTCCAGCGTTGCGAGCGCAACTTCTGCAGTCAACTCTGGCGTATCTACCGCTGATTGAAGCATCGCTTGCATAGTCGTCAGATCGTGGGATAACTCGAAGGGAAGCTCCCCCATCAGCTGACCAAGCTGACACAAGTCGTGCTGGAATCGTAATTTGTGACCATGATACCGATGGTTCCACCGAATAGTCGTTGTGTTGGGTTGGCGTGACTCATCCATGTCGATCAACACCCAATAGCTGAATCCAGAGGTCGGCACCAGCACAATGTTACGCCAACGAATATCACCGTGGCAGTACCCGCACCCGTGCCAATACTTCAACGCTGTCAGCATATGTCGCAACCACTCGCTCAGCTCGTCGATTGTTGGAAGTCGCAGATAACCAATCGGAGACAGTTCCACGACCAAACGGCCGTCTCGCTTCACCGACAACTTTTCCACGGTCTGCAAATGCGTCACGGGGCTGCTTTCATCTAATCCTTGCAGAGTCTCGTATACGCTTTTGAGTCGCTCAACGTCCATTTCACCACCGCTCTGTGTACGTTGGATCGTCCGTTCGATAAAACCATCCAGCAGCACGATCTTCCGCTTCTCGTTTTCATCGGGTACGAATGGCACGAGATCACACGCATACGATCGCTTCGTCAACTTGGCCATCTTGTGGAGCAAGAACGCCAAGTTGTAAAACACCTTCAGAGCACCAGCTTTATCCTCGAAGATGTTGAAGTCGAGTATCACAGTTGCGCGACACGGTCCGTCAGATCTTTCGATTGCCACCACTTGTAGATCACTCCCGGAAGTAGCGTAGCCCAACATGTATAGGAGATCTCCATAAAGCATCACATTCCACCGGTACATCTTGGTCGTCAATTCCGCTCGTGCCTTGGCTATTGACTCCAAAGAACTCATTTCTTCTCCACGCATCAAGAGGAGTCCCTTGTATTGGAGGATATAGTCCGGTCGCTTTCGTAGACTGGTAGTTCCTGTTTCATCGGCGAGATATCTGTGTTCTCGAACCAAAAAGCCCTTCTCGTGCCAAAGGGAAATCGGAATCAAGAGCAATGCATTATAGTAGCACTGCCAATAGGTATTGGATGCTGTTGCTTCAGGTCGACGAAACACATTCAACACTAGGAAATGGTCCATCCATAGCGTGAGATCCGGGCATGTAATGAGTGGTCCATTCGGACTGAAGACACGATTGGCAACCACCGAATCGCGCAGCGTCAGTCTGAACGGCAATGGCTTCTGGAGGAGCTCTGCCAGCTGGTGTGGAGCAGGCAAAACCGCCAGTTGCAACTCCGAGTGCTCCCATAGCTCCGCTAGCGAGGTGCTATGCTCAACTCGCTGTCGCTTCACATCGAACTTGTCCGACGTGCTATGCTCAACTCGCTGTCGCTTCACATCGAACTTGTCCACCAGCACGTGGATCACTTCTTCATCTGCGGGCGTGAAACTCGGCCCAAACAACTCCTTTTTGTTGAGCTTCCACCACGAAAACATCTTCTGGTACGTGTGGTCGACGTCTCCTTGCAGCAAGTCGTCCACATTCTTACCACCCGACAGCCACTTGGTTCTCTCCCCTTCCTTCTTCCCCGCCATGTACAGCGTCAACAACTTTGGGGGGACAGTGTGCTGCTCGGTACTCAAGATGCCAGCGATCTTCTCCTGCAGCACCTCCACATCCGCGTTGCGCTCGATTTCGAGGGAGAAGACACTCCCTTCGCCGTACACACCACACCGCAGCTTCATGCTCTCCTCCGCCATGTTTTTCGCGCCGACAGTTCTCGACTGAGAAGCAGCACACATTCACGCGACACACGGCTCATTTTTAGCCAAACAGATCACTCCAAAATAATTAATTTATTATTGACAAATATATTCCTCAATATATAGAAACTAAATGGGGGGGGGGGGGTCGAACATTGCAAAAAAACGTGCTCAAAATTCCCTCCGGTTTATGCTCTTGTCTTTGGCAGTAACCTGCTCAGTTTCAAAACAAGCCACCTCCGGAGGTGGCTTACATTTGAAATGAGCTAGCCCATTTTATATAAAAAAAACCCTCTCCCACCGACCATGACCGGAGAGGAAATGGAGGGAGGCGCGGGTAGTGCTGCGCCGCTCCGCATCCGTCTCCAGCCCGGATTCGAGCACCCCAAGGTGCGTCGTGCTGCACACTTGTAGGAGATAAATGCCGCGCAGAAGGCAGCACTCATCGCGCGGCGCCAGTCCACAAGGGCACGCGCTCCTGGAGCCTGTAGCGGGCCTCTGCAGTGTCTCTGCGAGTCGTCACTTTTGAAAATGCAAAATAATTACGACCCTCTGTGTTCGACTCCCTTTTTACAATTCCTGCTCAGTTTTTGTGCACTCCTCTGCTTACAAATTGGACACGTCTCTGCTTACTTTTTTGGATTATATTTGAAAGTTCGACCCCCATTATAATAGTGAGTTCATCTTGAGCGATAAAAAGATTAAATATATAGAAATAACAATGTGTAAGTACATCTTCTCAGGAAACCACCCAAAGGTGAGTCAACAGTGCAGCTCAAAAGGCGATTGGTGCCGACACCACGCAACGTATCAGCCAGCAGTTGCTGAACCAGTGATCGATGAATTTGTAGTTGCTGAACCTGCAGTTGCTGAACCAACGATGACCAAGTCTATTGAAGAAATTTATGGTGAGCGTTGCATCCAGCACATCAAATCTGTTGATGAATACGATCAACCCAAGTTGGGAGATTGACGCGTATAATCACCAAGTGATTGGATCAAGTCGAAGATGCGCGCAGTTGGTAATTCCGTCGACTACAAGCATAGTGATGATGTCACACCTGACTTTGGCAATGACGGATACACGTACCTTTTGCAATATCAATTCAATGAACTGGATGAATCACAGATGTTTGACAACTTCTTCTTTAAGTCGGTGAAGACCGTGAATCATTTGAACAAGCAAACGTTGAATGCGGTGTGGAATACTGCATTGCAACTAAATGCTACGATGAGCGATTGTATAATTTATGCATGACGCTTCGAAGTGATTGGTTCTGCAACAACCAAAACGTATAGAATCTTGCTGGATTCTTCGCTCGTCAACCTCATTCTGATTGGTATTTGATGTGCAAGATCTATCTCTGTGTGCTCAAACAAAAAGTAGAGCGTTTCACCAAGGATTTTGCTACAAAAGAATTCGATGGATGGTTTGATTACAAGTATAATCCATCACTGAACGAAGGCAAATAGAAAGGAGTTGCTGCTGGCTGTGATTCTGTTGCATACAAGCAATGAAAAGATGAATATG